AGCCGACGCAGTACCTGAGAGCGCGGACTCACTAGTACCTGAGAGTGCAGACTCACCAGTACCTGAGAGCACAGACGCACTAGCACCTAGAGCAGTAGCCTCACTAGCACCTAGAGCAGTAGTACCAATGCCCGGGTCGAGCGGGAAACACCAGTAATAGTCACCCTCATCACTAGCAGTCACAGCATACATGGCAGCAAGGATAGCATCAAAGTCAAGAACAAAGATAGCTACACCAGCCCTAGACAGCTCTCCCCAGCGGGGGATCTCCGCAGCCTCCGGGAACTGCTGGCGCCAAGCGTCCGTCAGGCGGCCAAAGCAGCGCTGGGCGGTGTGGGTACCCCCACACTGCTCTCCAGCGCGGTCGCCAGTGCGAAGGACGTAGGTGCAGGGACCAAAACCCCCACCACGCCGACACTGCGTGTACCACTCACGAAGCTGCTGAGGGGTGGGGACGTCACGAGAACGCTGCTGCTGCTGCTGCTGCTGACGCTGACCACCCCCAGTGCTGCTCCGCTGCGAAGCGCCACTCCGACCACCTCCACCACCGCCACCCCCGCCTCCACCTCCACCGCCGCCACCTCCGCCACCTCCGCTCCCACCGCCACCGCCGCCGCCACCTACGCCTCCACTGCCGCCACTAGTACCCCCACCCCCGCCACCACTCCCACCGCCACCCCCACTCCCCCCGCCGCCCCCACCTCCACCGCCACCGCCCCCGCTAGCTCCACCCGCGCCCTTGCCCCCCTTGCCCTTGCCAGGGCGGCGTCTCCCGCTAGGGGCAGACGCCGCACTGACCGAATGAAGACCAACGAGGTCGGCCGCAACAGCAGAGGCGACAGAGCGCAAGAGGGGGGAAGGAGAACACCCCTCAAAGATGGGGGTGCGAGGGTCACCACGAGAGGCCCCTACAGCGACTATGCTCTTCTCCGCCGCTAGGAGGGACTTCTCGAGGAGGTCTACAGTGAGAGTGGTGGGACAGACCGAGAGAAAGTGGTTCCTAACTACACGAAGGGAGTCAGGGAGACGAGTGACTATAAAGTAGAGAGTGATGTACATGGGGGGGGGGTTCTTGGCGCAGAAGTCAGCAGGAAGCGCAGCGCGGTAGCGAGTGTCACTAGTGCGGAGGTGCGTAATGAGGTCAGCGACTGTGGGAAAGGCAGCAAGGTCAGGGAAGAGGTACGGTAGCATGAGACGGCTCAGTGCAGCAGTGACAGGGGAGGAGTAGCGCGCAACTACAGCGTCGTACAAGGTCTGAGCACTCTTGTACTGACTAAAGTGTGCATGCTCAGAGGTAGGGAGGTGGCGACGAACAGCAAGACGTGCAGCAGCATCGCGTGTGGCCCACTTGGAGCGAACAGTGGGGTCAGCATCAGCAGCAGGGGCAGGGACGGCGCCAGAGGTAAGGTCAAAGAGAGAAATGTCGTCTACCCTATCGCACTGCAAGTACAGCTGCAGGTCGTCGACCCAGACCTCAAATTCAATGGCACGACCCTCAGCGTCAAAAGCTAGGACACTAGGGGTAGCCATGACATCAGACGCCTAGCAGTGCAAGCACTAGGGTGAGGGCAGTGCAGTGAAAAAAAAGGCTCTGTGCTCACCAGACTAGGCAGAACGGGCGGTCTGGAAGTAGGGCAGCTCGGTGGCCGGCGGCGCGACTGCTGGGCGGCTCGGCTGCTGGGCGGCTCGGCTGCTCGGCGGCTCGGCTGCTGGGCGACTCGGCTGCTCGGCGGCTCGGCTGCTGGGCGGCTCGGCTGCTCGGCTTCTGGGCGGCTCTGCGGCTCGGCTGCTGGGCGGCCTGGCGGCTCGGCTGGTGGGCGACCCGGCAGTCGGGCGGCTCGGTGGCGCTGGTTCAGGGCGGCGCGACGGTCGTGGGTAGGGCGGCGGGTGGGCCGCAGGTAGGGCGGCAGGCGTGCCGCAGGAAGGGGGGCGGGCGTGCCGCAGGTAGGGCGGCGGGCGTGCCGCAGGTAGGGCGGCAGGCGTGCTGCAGGTAGGGCGGCGGGCGGGCCGCAGGTAGGGCGGCAAGCGTGCCGTAGGTAGGGCGGCGGGCGGGCCGTCGACGTAAGGCGGCGGGGCCGCGACGTAGGGCGGCGGGGCCGCGACTTAGGGCGGCGGGCGGGCCGTCGACGTAGGGCGGCGGGGCCGCGACGTAGGGCGGCGGGGCCGCGACGTAGGGCGGCGGGCGGGCCGTCGACGTAGGGCGGCGGGGCCGCGACGTAGGGCGGCGGGGCCGTCGAAAGGCAGGGCGGCGGGGCCGTCAGTTAGGGCGGCGGGGCCGCGACTTAGGGCGGCGGGGCCGTCAGGAGTAGGGCGGCGCGACAGGCCGCTGCAAGGGCGGCGCGCCACTGCCGCTAAGGCGGCTCGGCGCGACCGGAAGGGCGGCGCGACGGGCCGCTAGGAGGCGACACGACGGGTCGCTAAAAAAAAAGGGAGCGCGACTCGAGGCGCGCTTCGGTGGGCCCTAGGAACAGTCCCTAGGAGGGGACCTGCTATGATTCCATAATAAAATGAGAACGAGAATGGAATGACTATGAATGAAGTGAGTACATATAGGAAACCCTAATTGGGTTGTACCCCCTATGGGATACCCCACTATAGCCTACACAAATAAGTAAGCTATAATGTTCTGACAGGCTAACACGGCCGCCAGCCGCTACGCCGACCGACATCGACGGAATTTACCCTTCCGTGACGGGCAGATGGTCCTCCTGGGCACAAAAAACCTCAAGCTGCCCCAACCTGCAAAACTGCGTCCCCGCTACGTGGGACCCTTTCGCATCATTCGGATGCTGACACCGGTCACTGCGAAACTTCTCCTACCGGACGACTGGAAAATCCACGATGCTTTCCACGTCAGTTTACTTCGCCACTATGTGGCATCGCATTCGTCCGACGTCGCCGCCCGACCCCACCAGGCGCCAAGTGTCCGACCTGTGGCAGACCCGACGCTTCAACCTTGGAAGATATTGAACCATCGCATTCGTGCGACCTCCGCCGGACGCCACGTCGACTTCCTGCTACGCTGGGTGGATCGCACAAGCGACGATGACACGTGGGTCCCGGCTGACTCACTACAAGGGCACTCGGTACTTCGGCAGTATCTTTCTCGCCGACATGTGCCTGATGTCGACCACCTTTCTTAAGGAGGGGGGGGGGGGGGGGGGGGGGGTAGTGTAAGGAATTTCGCTAATTCCTTGCTGAGGCATCTCTTACGCGTACAATTCCAACTTTCGGAATTCAGGCTCGGTCCGACGACCTCGCCTTCCGAACGTCTCCCGCGTCGCCCTCGGGTTTCCGAACCCCAAACCTGCACCCAACCTTCGCGCGACTCCGCGACCTCGGCCTAGCTAGCTGTGCTATATTATACCTAGGCCTCGTTGTTTGCTGTGTAGTTGTAATAACTTCCGCGATATTGCATTCTGCGCACTCTTCTTTCATACAACTCATAACAAGTCCACAGGTTTCATCATGTAATCTTTGGGATTGCCTACCTACTACGATTTTTCATTTAGAGGAGGGGTGCGTTGTCGTGGATCAAGCCGAACCAACCCACCAAATCGGGTCGAATTCGATCTCCCGAACCAATCAGACCGATTGGTTCGACAAGGCTGCCGCGACCAGCCTTATCGGTTTGCGATGAGGTACCTGAGCTGGCAAAATAATGACACAGCTCGTTCGGAATTGCGTACGAGGCAAGGTGTCCGAGTAACGGCTGCGTTCTGCAGGCGCATCAGCTCTGATGCGTCTGAGGCTCGGGCTGATGCGCACATTGAGATATTGAGGTTCGGAAATGACAAAATTGAAATCGATAAATTGAGGTTCGGATGAGGTTCGGACGAGGTTCCCGAAATCTTCTATTTCCAATTTTCCGAACCACGTCCGAACCTCGAATTTGGGCATGTCAGATCTCGAAATCCAATTTCCTTAAATTTCAAAAATCTTATGGGTTTCTAGGAAGTTAGACCGCAATTTTTTCTAATGGTGCCAACCAATGAGGGTTTAGGAAGAAACAAATTGACGAATGAGGGTGCTCCGCACCAGCTGATGCGCGCATCATGCGACTTCTAGGAGTTGCATGATGCGCGCATCAATGATGCGCCAGATTGCTAGGACGAGAAATTTCTCGTAAATCGGCAACATGTTAAATTTTGGTCGCAGAAATGGCCGTTCTACAGGCATTCGGTTTTGTTTCGCTTCGGCAGCTATGCGCTTATCGCGAACCTTGATAACCTCTCGGCAGGTTATGACGGAAGTATCTCGGAACCTTTTGGTAGAATGCATCAATGTACATTGATGCGGGCTGATGCGCCCACAGAGCGCAGCCAACAAAAAGGTCAGCGAGTTGTTGCCTCTCGCCACAAAGCCTGCAGGGAAGCGCGGTGACAATTGCGCTGGAGGTGCGTCAAGGGTGAGTCAAAATTACTCAGAAATTCTTGGTACCCCGAGCTGCAATGGTCCGGTCAGTCCTGGTCGACCGAAGTCGACCCAACCTAGCCCGATCGGGCTGGATTGCAACACATCGTAGCGTCCTTTGTTGTCCCTCTCTTGGGAAAACTTTCCCGACCCTTTGTTGTACCTGACCCTTGGATTCGCCAAATCCATGTCTGCTCTTTTCCGCAGCAGCTCGCTCCGTCGCTGTTCTGCAATGACGTAGCCGAGCTACGAACCCTCCGTCGAACCGTCCGATCGCACAATCCTGGCTCTGACCACCGCGATTGACGCATCGCAGCTTATCCCTTGACCTTGGATGTTATTTTGTGATTGATTTGATCGCCATGGCTCGTCCCTGGTGGAGCCGCACCGCTCAACGCTTCACGGCTGCCATTTCGGCGTCGCCCGTTACTACGGTAGCGACAGCCGGAGCCGCCGTCGCAGCCGCGTCGCTTGCAACAGCCTCATATCTCAACGCCGCCCCCGTCATTTTTTCGGATTATTCCGCGTCGCGATCCGCGGATTCCGCTTCCGCTCCCGCCTCCTCCATTGCAGCGCTGCACGGGAGAATGATGAGCCACGTGGCATCATGTGAGGGGGGCGCAACGGGCGCGGGATCCGCCCCCGCGGGATCGGGGGAGAGCGGAGGCGGCGCAACGGGGGATAGCGGCGCGGGGAGTGGGAAGGAGGCGGTGAGAGCGATGGGCGGAGCGGATGGCGCGGAGGGGGAGAGCGCGCCAGGTGTAGGCGGAGCGGGACACCAGGCGGGATCCGCGGCGATCTTCCCGCTAAAACTGCTTCAGGTACAGCCACACAGTCGCACAATCACACCGCACACAAAGTCAATCATAATCACGATCGCGAGTGGATTCACAATCCAAATGTAGAGTCGGGGTGTGTCAGTGACCGAGTAAGGGGAGGAAGACTCATCTATATTTTCACTGGACGGTGTGTGCAAGTTGACTTCCAACTTGGCACTCGTCTACGCACATCAATCTCCCAAATTGACTTCTCACTAGTACGTGCCTTGTTCTCGTCCCCGCTTCCTCCGCTTCCCCCCCAGGTGCACGTGATGTTCCGCCACGGCGACCGGGCGCCCATGCCACGTGGCACGCCGTCAGAGGAGGAGGTGGCGCGGTGGGAGGCGAGGCTGCAGCCGCGTCCCCCAGCGCACGTGCTGCCGCACCGACAGCACACGCGGGGGATAGAGTGGCCCTTTGGCCAACTCACCAGGAAAGGTGCGCGAGCGGAAGATGTGTGGGAAACGCCTTTTACATTTTATTCTGTCTTTTTGGATTCTTGGGAACATGCTGCAGCACTGTGTGTGGTTTCATGGTTTCAGGGTTCAGGTTTTGGGAGAGAGAGAGAGAGAGAGAGAGAGAGAGAGAGAGAGAGAGAGAGAGAGAGAGAGAGAGAGAGAGAGAGAGAGAGAGAGAGAGAGAGTAGACAGTCACAGTCACAGTCACAGTCACACGAACCTGGTGTCTTTCCCGGCCTCCTGCATCTCATCTTTCCTTTCACGTGCGATGGCTGCCTGGTAGGAGCACGGAAGACGGAAATAACTCGTGATTCGACTCAGAGTTCACTCATACCCTCCCCTCCTCCCCTCTCTCTGTCCCTTTCTGCCATCACTCATCCTCGACTTTCTCCCTTTCTCCCTGCCCGTGTGTGCTGCCTGGCAGGAGCGCGGGAGGCGGAGTCGCTGGGATGCGCATTGAGACACAGATATGCTGCTCTGCTAGGCCTCTCAGACACACACGGCTCTGTTACCAGTGCGGACGTGGCTGCTGCTGCTGCTGGTGGTGCTGGCAATGGTGGTGTGGATCCTACACAATATGCTGCAGTGAGTGATGCTGCTGCTGCTCAAGGCTCCGGCACCCACAGCAGTAGCAATGGCAGCAGCGGTAGCGACAGCGACAGCAACAGCAGCAGCACGGCGCCGGCAGCAGCATCATCTCTGATTAGCATCCGCTCTACCAACTTCCCTCGGACCTACATGACCGGTGCGTGTGCCTCGACCCGCCTTTTCTCCCCCTCTCCTCCCTGCCTCACTCCCTCTCTCTCTCTCCCTCATCGCTCACCCTGCAACTCTGCCTTACTCACTCCCTCACCCCCTGACCGCCACTATTTTCCAAGAGGCAACAGGTAGCACCACATATGTCCATCCACCCCACCCCCATGTTTCACACTCCCCTCCTCTTCTCCGTCTCCCCATCTTTCCCCCCTCCTTCCCCATCCCGTCCCGTCGTGCTCTTCCCCAGGCTTGTACGTGCTGCAGGGGCTGCTGGGGTCTCAGGGGCGACTTTTGAGGTGCCTCAAAAACCTTCCCCCCTCCCCCTTCGCCCTCTCCCCCAGGCTTCTACGTGCTGCAGGGGCTGCTGGGGTCGCAGGAGCGGGCAGCGCAGGTACCCATTAATATATGCGGCGAGGGCGAGGAGAACCTGTATGAGAACAACCGCTGCGCCAGGTGAGGGGTTTGGGGGGGCTTTGGGGGATAGGTGATGGTGGGGAAGGGAGACAACGGCTGAGGTGAGGCAGCGCAGGTGCCCATTAATATATGGGCCGAGGGCGAGGAGAACCTCTATGAGAACGTGAGGGCGAGGGGAAGAGGGGGAGGGGGGAAAAGGAGTAACATGGGGAAAAGTGGAGAAAGGAGGAAGGAGGGGAGGGGGAAAAGGGGGGGAGGGCGAAGGGGCGCAGCACAGGTGAGGCCAGCAGCATTAAAATTACCAGTATCAGCCTCACTGCCATGCTTCCATGTCACCAATCACAGTCGAATTTTGAGTCGACTCAACAGTCAGCCTCAGCACCACGATTTCATGTCACCTCTGAGAATTTCCAAAGGCCTCAGCACCATGCTCCCATGTCACCACTCAAAGTCGTACGGGTGTGATGCTGATGCGCCTCTGCCCACCCCTGCCCATGTCACCCCTGCCTGTGTGACCACCTTGTGGGACCACCACGATATCAAGTCACCTCTGAGAATTCTCAAAGGCCTCAGCACCATGCTCTTATGTCACCACTCCCAGTCGTATGGGTGTGATGCTGATGCGCCTCTGCCCACCCCTGCCCATGTCGCCCCTGCCCATGTCACCCCTGCCCATGTCGCCCCTGCCCGTGTGACCACCATGTGTGATCATGGCAGGGGTGTGATGCTGTGGGGGCGTGCATGGAAGGACCTTTCTCGCTCCACACGCAACCCCGACGGTTCTTTCTCTGATCTTGGCTGGCGTGCTCAATACCAGGTTGGTTTCTGAGAAATAATCTCAGAAATACTCTCTGACCTTGACTTGCGTGCGGAGTAGCAGGTGGGGGCAGTAGCAGGTGGTTAGTTGTTTGGAATTCTAAGAATCTCTCACAGGGAGGTGCAAACACAGGGAGGTGCAAACACAGGGAGGTGCAAACACAGGGAAGTTCGCACAGAGGGAGGTGCAAACAGGAGGGGAGCAGGGAGAGGTGAGAGGTGATGTGAGTGGAAGTGTGAGGTGGCAGGGTGTGATGGATGCGTATTGTTGTTGGGATAACCATGCTCTGCCTCCCATTCCCCCCACGCCCCCCCCGCCCCCAACACCCCCTGAGCAGCATGTGAGGGAGTCAATGCGTTCCTTCTTCAACCTTCCTGATGGCCGCTTCCCTTGGCTCTGGGTACGCCTTGCTTCCGCCCTCTGCCATTCGTTCTCGTTTGCCCTTTACCCGCACGACCCCCTCTTTCTCTCTATGCGCCATCCCTCAACCAATGCGGTTTCTGTTCTGTTCGTGGATGACATGGGCCGTTAGAGATCACATCACACTCAATCTTAAGAGCTTGTTTGGATTTATGCAGATTCTTGTTCTCTTTACACGAGCTCGTTTATGCTCACAGCGATTGCCTTGTGCAACTCTAAGAGGCAAACTCTAAGAGCTCGTTTATCTTATCCTCAAAATCACCTATACCGCACCCGTTAAATTGTTAACGTCACCGGCGCGAATCCATTATGGTACCTCGAGTGTTGTTGTCCCTCCCAACTCACCATCCGTGCAGGGTACCGTGTGTACGATTCTGATAGTACCCACCCCACATTTCAGCTCTATCGTAGTTTCACAAAGGCTAGCGTCAAGGTAAAGCAAATGGAGTGCATTTTTGCCAACCGACTTTTGCCTACAGCCATAGTCGTTGTTGTTAACGGGAGTGGAGTGTTGGCCCCACCCTCGCTTGGGCAACGCCGACGACTTGGTCGGATGTACGGGAGTAGCAGCCGACCGTGCACAGTGGGAGAGCTGCTCGACAGGCTTTGTCGAGCTGCAGGGGACCGCTTTGTGTTGCTGTCGTCCAGAGAGCTTGACAGTTGCAACTGACTGGTCTGGGCGACGGGTGGGCCGTCGACCAGGAGGGGCAGTTCGACCGGGCTCCGTCGACCTGCAATTCAATCGGGAGGTCGACAGAGCAGCCCGTCGACCTGACCTGCAGGTCGACCGGGAGGTCAACGGAGCAGTCCGTCGACTTGACAAGTGAGCAGCGATCGACGAGGGGAGCTCGGCGACAACCGCTGACAGTTCTGGTCGACGGAAGGGGGTGGCTTGACGGGAGCTGTGGTCGACCAGGGGCACCTGGTGGTCGACAAGAGGGACCTGGTGGTCGACCAGAGGCACTTGGTGGTCGACCAGAGCACCTGGTGGTGTTCAGGTCGACCGGGTAAGCTGCTCAACGAGTTCCGCGGAGGCACGCGAACGTTGTCGAGGTCGCGGTGGCGAAAGCGACTTTGGGTTGGCATCCCGAAGTCGATGTGGCTCGTCAGGTGCAGACAACAGCCGACGGATGCACAACGATGCAAGTCGGGCGAAATATGTGCGCGCACCTGCGAGCGTGCGCACTGCTGTCTTCTACGGGGCAACACTGGACAGCCACTTTGTTGCAGCGTTGGCACGCCGTCGACGTGTAGTGTTGGCATGTCGCTCTTCTGCAGTGCTGGCGCGGCTCCTCTACGCAACGCTGGCAGGCGGTTGACCAAGTTGCGCTGGCGGTCGACCAGGCTAGCTGCATAGTTGCTAGGTGCCTGATGTAGTCATTGTTGTCATTGTTTGTTTAACCATTCTGTGATTTCGACTTTGCTAGTGGAAAGTCTTGCCGATTTCTCCCGTGATTGTGCAAGCACTAAAGAACTATGCAAAGCTACTATCACTCTTAGTAGTTCGTGCCAACCCCTGGAGTCTAGCTCACTACCGTTGTAGAGTGAAACTTCGCAGTTGCGCTACTTACTTTGCTGAGTGGTCGGGCCAGGGACGCCGCGTGGTGCAGTTGCACTGCCGTTCCCACAAAAGTCGGCGATGCAATGCGATCCACACATGATGTGCGTTTCAATGTCTCTTTATCTCGTCGCTAAGGAGTCCCGCAACTGCACTGGCGGGAGAGGTTTTTCGGTCTCCATGAGGACCTTCTCCGATTAGTAGAAGGTTTTATTTTTTGCTGCGATATGGACACTTGAACACAACTTGTTGAGGGCACTAAAGCACACTGTCGCAGAGATTTTTTGTGTTTATTGGAGCTTATGAATGATGACCTGGACTATCGAGCCCTCGCGCAACTTCTCTAGTGGTGTCCAGGCGTGATAAGCTTGTGGCTAGCAATAGAGGCCGTGCAGGAGCTTGACAGCGATAAATCGCACATGCGATTGCATCATGGACATTTTTTTTATATCTCATATTTGACAGTGAGGGCCTGTCCATGTGCTGCTCCTGTCGCCTACACAAACAGTAAGACGATCATCTGGTTGCTCGACAAGTCTTTGATGCCACATATTTGATAGTGAGAGCCTGCGCATGTGGTGCCTCTGTCGCCCACACAAACTTTACTTGGACGATCATCTGGCTGTTCGACAAGGACTTTATGTTGGGGCCGGCTTGTCAAACGGTTAAATGATCGTCCTAGGGCTGCAGGGGCACCACATGGGCAGGCTCTCACTGTCAAACTCGAAGCCATAAAAAAAAATGCGTATGATGCTATCGCATGTGCAGCTTATCGCTGTCAAACTCCTGCTAAGCCTCTACTACTCGCCACACGCTTATCACGCTGGACACCACTCGAAAAGTTGCGTGAGGGCTTGATATTCCACATCATCTTTCATAAGTTCAAGCATGCATTGAAACATCTCTACGAAAGTGTGCTTTTGTGCTCTCAACAAGTTGTGTCAGTGTCCACATTGTCGCAAATACTACACCTTTCTACTAAACGGAAGTGGCCCTCATGGAGATCAGAGAGCCTCTTCTGGCAATGCAGCTGCTATAGTGACTCCTTGGTGGCGTGATAAAAGACTTTGAAGAGGAGGAGGAGGATAATCGGGTGCTTGCTTATGAGTTCTTAGCACCCTAGCCCTTTCTCCTGAATAAGACTAATAGCGTTGGGAGTTTTTCTAGATATAGTAGGATTCGAATAGATGGGTTAGGGTGTGTGTGTGGCATGGTTGGTTGTGTGTGGGAGCTCGAGATTTTTTTTTTTTTTTTTGGCCTGCCTGAGCCAAGCGTTATACAGTGTCGGGGCCTGGACATCAGAACGTCCGGCGCATATAGCTAGCGTCTGGACGTTGGACATCAGAACGTCCGGCGTATATACGCTAGCATATGGGTCGTTGGATGCATCCATGTCCACTTAGGTGCAAATATGCTCCATTGCTCCCCCTCTCTCCGCTCCCACTCCCGGCCCCCCTCCTCCTTCACTCTCTCTCTGTGTCTATGCTCACTCCCCACCATCCGCATTCCCGACCCCCTTCTTTCCCCCCTCGTTCCTCCTTTCCCCTTTCCTCCTCCGTCCCCCTCCCCCTTCCCATCCTCCCCCCCACCTCCCCCCCGCATCAGGCAGTGGACTATGCGGACTGCAGGCGCCATCACGGGGACCCGCTACCCCCAGCGCTCACCCCTACTCTGCTTGACACCTTCCGCTTCCACCTCGCGCAGGACTACATGCGCACCTTCTCTGTACGCCCCTCCTCTCTGCTCTTCTCTACTCTTCCTTGCTCGGCTCTGTTCTGCTCTTCTTTGCTCTGCTCTGCTCTCTTCTGCTCTGCTCTGCTCTCTTCTCTTCTGCTCTTCTCTGCTCTGTACTTCTTTGCAAACGCTCACTATCTCTTCTCCTCGCTTCCACACATTCTCTGTATGCACACTCGCTCTCTCCCGTCCGCTCCGCTTCCACCTCGCGCAGGACTACGCGCGTACGCCCCTCTTGCTCGTTTATTCTCTTCTTTGTTCTGCTGTGCTTGTTCCTTTTGTTGCAGATCCCAGCCTTACCACTTATGTCCTTGTTAGAGAATGCGTGCACGTGCACGCCAGCATCCTAAATTCTGATCCGACTCAAAAGTCATCTCTTTCCCTCGCACTCCACCATCCCTGAATCCCTCTCATCCTCCTCATCCTCCTCAACCTCGTCTCTATGAACTCAAGTTTCGATGCCACCAATCCCACCCACCAGCACGAGCATCAGGAGATGAGTCGTCTCCATGAATGAGCCATGGCTCCAGGAGATGAGGGGTCATCCACGAGGTGCATTTCGAGTTGACCTGAATGGGTGCCTCCTCTCATCTTTCTCGATCCTCAAGAACCCCCCTCCGCTCTTAGCCCTCTCTCCTGCCACCATCACCAGGAGATCTGACTCCTGGCCATGGGCCCGCTCCTGCACGAGGTGCCCTTTGAGTCTGCCTAAACGTGTTTCCTCTCTTCAGTCTCCATCCTCATCAACCCCCCTCACCCGCCTCACCCCCCAACCCTCTTTCCCACCACCAGCACCAGGAGATCTGCCGTCTGGCCATGGGTCCACTCCTGCACGAGGTGCATGAGAGCATGAAGGCCGCTATTGCTCAAACTAACTCCACCAGCAGTGACACAAGCAGCAGCAGCAACAACAGTGGTGGTGGTGGTGGTGGTCTATCCCCATCATCCCCACCACCTGCATCATCACCCCAACCACGCATCTTCCTCTATTCAGGCCATGATGCCACACTCATGCCCCTCTCAGGTACGTTCCCCCCTCCCTTTCTCTCTCCTCTGCTTCTATCACCTTCCTGCCTCTTTTCTCTCAACTGGCACATAACTTGCTTTGACCCCTGCATCACTTGCACACTCGTCCTCCACCGCCCCTCGCGTCCGTCATTCTTCTCACCCTTTTGGCACTGGAAACTGTCAGACTCTGCCGCGCTTATTCCATGTACTAGCTCTGGGTCTCACTGCCAGTCTCATTCCATAAGACTTGCTCAGAAGACTCATTTCTCTCTTTCCTCCTTCCTCTCCTCTCGTCCCCCCTGTTTACCCTCCTCCACCATCCCACTCCCAATCCCACTGCACCACTCCCAACCGCACTGCAGTGGCGCTCGGCTGTCCATACCCCTTCTGGCCGGGCTATGCATCCTCCATTGCACTGGAGCTCTGGGCATCAAACGACAACTCCACTCACTACATCCGAGTGCTCAGGAACTTTGATGAGGTTGGTATGCCCACGCACACACCCCCTCCTGGGGGCTCCTGGGCTGATATGCCTGCTGCTGCTTCTTCTGGTGCTGGTGGTGCTGCTGTTGGTGGTGATGGCGTGGTGCTGTGTCCCTGGGATCAGTTTGCGCACATTATAGAGTGGAGTGAAATCAACAAGGAGCACTATGAGAGGGACTGCCATGTTGCCAAGCCCAGGCTCTGACAGGCTGAAAAGGCCCTGCCTGACTTAATTTCATAACATACCGTATCTTTGCTTATGAAGAGATGTGAATTTTCTGTTACGAAATGCAGCTTATTTCAAATGATAATCCGAACTTGATCAGGAGTGACCCCTGGTCCAAAAAGAGCAAGAGCCATACAGGGCGACCCCGCCGGGGACGCGGCCCCTCGCTCGATCCTGCGTCGTTGTTTTTCCGGGGTTAGAGAAGGTTAAGAATGCAGCAAGCAGGATTTTAGTGCGGTGTAGGATCACTTATGCACAACCGATCGCAGGGTCGTGGCGGGGGGGACGCAGGTTCGGCAGTTTGGTGTGCCTGCTCCGCCTGGTTTGGCTAAAGCCGTGATCTCCACGCCACAGTGGTTCCCCTTCGTAGTGTAGAGCGATTTCGTCCAGTACTCTCATCATCTCAACGGTTCATGGCTCATGCAGTCAGCCGTGGGCGTCGTGCCGATGTTGTCTCTGCTGCTGCCGATGTTGTCTCTGCTGCTGCTGATGTTGTCTCTGCTGCTGCCGATGTTGTCTCTGCTGCTGCCGATGTTGTCTCTGCTGCTGCTGATGTTGTCTGAATTGTTGCTAACGCCCTTGTTCTTTCTGCTTCAGGGATGGTGTGTGAATACCAGAAGCCTTCTGGACTGAAGTCTGGATCAAGGTCTGGAGGGTGTGTCCAGTTGGTGAAGTTAACGATGGCTTCGCTGTCGGCGGTGCCAAGATCAGGAATGAAGTCAAGAACGAAGACGTTCTTGAGGACCGCCTTGCCGATGTAAAGTCCTCCTCTCCCGATGTTGTCTCTGCTGCTGCTGATTTTTGGGTGGTGATACAAATGTTGTCTCTGCTGCTGCTAATTGTGGTGTTGTCTCTACAGCTTTGAGGTGAATCCCTTTCGCCATTAGGGACAAAATTAGAAGAAAGAAAGAGGATTGAACTAGCAGGAATGAGGATACAAATAGCAAACCCTAGAAGGGTTGTACTCGCTATAGAGCACCCCACTACAGGCTAGAACATAAGATAACATTCTGACAATTAGTTGACTGACGCTCAGTAAGTTGTAGCCGAGTCCCTCCGCAATTAGCACTTTTGACATCTGCAGTATAATGTTTGTTTCCCTTGACTGAAGTTGAACTACGCCTTGTCGTCGTGTTCGCAGGTTCTGATTGTTGGTGACTGTAATGACAACTTCGCGTTGAAGTTGGTGTTCTCGTTGAACGAAGCGTCCCGAGGAGCACATGTGCTGTCCGCAGCAACTGTCCAAGAACCATGTGTCCTTTCCGGATGGTTCGCTTTGGGCGATGGCGGCGTATGTCGGGTTCGGCTGAAGTGACTCGCGGCGGGGTGTGGTTTCGTCGAGTTGTTCTTCCGGTGAGTAGTGTGGTGGTGACTCGTTGATGCAGGAGTCACTCAGCTTTGCCATGCAGCTGACGATGTTTCTTCCTCCTTGTGCAGGTTGTCCCGTTGAAGTCGTTGAGGCTTGAATCTGGGTCGTGGGATTTGCTTGCGTTGAGGCGATTTGGCTGCTTGAAGGTCGGAGTTGCCGCTGTGGAGTTGTTGACTGTTGACAATTCGGGCAGTGCGTACGCGGGTGTCCTGAAGTTTTGCAGATGTGGCAGAACGGAGGTACTGGCTTCGGTTGTTGCTGCCGGTTGTTGTTGTTGTTGTAGCGTCGCTGAGTGTGGAACGTGAATTCCGGTGCTGATGTCTTCTTTTTGTGTCGTTCTTCTTGCAGGTCCATGTCTTGCTGCTCGGCGTGGATTTCGGCGCAGAGCGCTGCTTCGGAGATCCTTCCGTGAGCTTGGAGAATGGCCTTTGTGGCGCACCATTGAGGACCAAGGCCGCCGATGATGACTGTCACGAAGGCGTCTTCAGAAATCGACCCTCCGCATCGAAGAAGCTTGTCGTGCAACTCGCGACATTGACTGATATACGCTATTCCTTTCTCCCCTGGTTTCATTTCAACCGTTGTCAGTTGCGCCATTAACCGACTTTGGCTTACGCTGTCTGTTGCTTGATACAGGCTCTTTAGGTGGTTGTACGCGAGCTCCGCGGAGTTGCCGTAACCTCGGTAAGACCTTATGTTCTGCTGTTGAGTCGGGGTGATATTCCTCAGTAGGATCGTGTACGCCATCATTGACTGATAGGTGTACTGCTGCTTCTCGTACTGTGTGCCGTTTGTTGGGTATGGCAGAGACCCGTCGAAAAACCCGAGTAGCTGCGCGCCTTCCATCATCAGCTCGAACTCGAACGACCAGGTGAAGAAGTCCTTTCCATCGAAGGGTCTTGACGTCTGCATCTTCAGAACGTGTGCGAACTGCGACTGAACTTGTAATGCGTCCAGTGATTTTTCTTGTCCAGGTGAAGGCTGTGGGTGTGGCATAAAGCTGATGGACCCGCGCTCGTACGGAGCAAAGGTAGGCTGCTGTTGTTGATTTCCTCGTGCATATGATGAGCCGTCGAGACTCATGGGTGTTGCTCCATTGTTGTTGCTGTTGTGTGACTGCGAAGGTGTCGATTGCTGGTGTTGCTCGTAGAAGGACATGAAGGAGAAAAACTTCTCCATCATGCTCTGGTCGAAGTCTGCAGGTTGATTCGCGGGAGTCTCGGCAGATGTTGCTGTCAGAACATTATAGCTTCTGCTTTTGTGTAGGCTATAGTGGGGTATCCCATAGGGGGTACAACCCAATTAGGGTTAGTACTTGTACCCAGTTCATTCATAGTTCATTCATTCTCGTTTATTCTCATGGTTTCAGAGCAGGTTCCCTAGTGGGAACGCTACATAGGGCCCACCACAAATTTTCTTTTTTTTCCTGCCCGGAGCGCGCCTCCGACTAGACCGAGTCGCGCGCGCCCCGTGTGCCCGTCGACCCCACGCGCTGCCCTAGCGGCCCCTCCTTGCACCACCAGTCGACCCCGCGCACCGCCCTAGCGGCCCCCCCTGCGCCGCCCGTCGACCCCGCGCGCCGCCCTAGCGGCCCCCCCCTACGCCGCCCGTCGACCCCGCGCGCCTCCCTAGCGCCCCCCTGCGCCGCCCGTCGACCCCGCGCGCCGCCCTAGCGGCCCCCTGCGCCGTCCGTCGACCCCGCGCGCCGCCCTAGTGGCGCCTTACGCCACCCGTCGACCCCGCGCGCCGCCCTTGCGGCCTCGCCGCCCTTACCTGCGGCCCCCACCGCCCTCACCTGCGGTCCCCGCCGCCCTTACCTGCGGCCTCGCCGCCCTCACCTGCGGTCCCCGCCGCCCTTACCTGCGGTCCCCGCCGCCCTTACCTGCGGCCCACCCGCCCTCACCTGCGGTCCCCGCCGCCCTTACCTGCGGCCCCCACCGCCCTCACCTGCGGTCCCCGCCGCCCTTACCTGCGGCCTCGCCGCCCTCACCTGCGGTCCCCGCCGCCCTCACCTACGGTCCCCGCCGCCCTTACCTGCGGTCCCCGCCGCCCTTACCTGCGGCCTCGCCGCCCTCACCTGCGGTCCTCGCCGCCCTTACCTGCGGCCCACCCGCCTTCCCTGCGGTCCCGTCACCTGCTGCAGCGCCGCCCGCCACCTGAGCCGCCCGGGCCGCCTCACCTCGCCGAGCAGCCGACCGCCGAGCCGCCCTGCAGCAGCACGGCCGAGCTGCCCAGCAGCTGAGCAGCCGAGCCGCCCAGCAGCTGAGCAGCCGAGCAGCCGACCCGCCCAGCAGCCGAGCAGCCGAGCCGCCCAGCAACCGAGCAGCCAAGCCGCCCTGCAGCCGAGCCGCCCGGCAACCGGGCGCCCTGCAGCCGAGCCGCCGTGCAGCCGAGCCGCCGTGCAGCCGACCCGCCGAGCCGCCGAGCTGCCAAGTCGCCCTACCTCCGAGCCGCCCGAGCAGCCCCGTCCGGTGAGCACAGTGCCTCTTTCACTGCACTGCCCTCACCCTACTGCAGCACTACTAGTCTACTGTGGTCATGGCTACCTCTAGTGTCCTCGCTTTTGACGCTGAGGGTCGAGCCATTGACTTTGACGTTTGGGTATATGACCTGCAGCTGTTTTTACAGTACGATAGGGCAGACGGTCTCTCCCTCTTTGACCTCACCTCTGGCGCCTCTCCTGCCCCTACTGCTGATGCTGACGCCAATTTTCGCTCCCAGTGGGCCACGCGCGACGCTGCTGCACGTCTTGCTGTGCGTCGCCACCTCCCTACCTCCGAGCGCGCGCACTTTAGTCAGTACAAGAGTGCTCAGACCTTGTACGACGCTGTAGTTGCACGCTACTCCTCCCCTGCCACTGCTGCACTGAGCCGTCTCATGCTACCGTACCTCTTCCCTGACCTTGCTGCCTTTCCCACAGTCGCTGACCTCATTACGCACCTCCGCACTAGGGACACTCGCTACCGCGCTGCGCTTCCTGCTGACTTGTGCGCCAAGAACCCACCCCCCATGTACATCACTCTCTACTACATAGTCACTCGCCTCCCTGACTCCCTTCGCATACTCAGGGACCACTTCCTCTCAGTCTGTCCCACCACTCTCACTATTGACCTCCTCGAGAAGTCCCTCCTAGCGGCCGAGAAGAGCATAGTCGCTGTAGGGGCCTCTCGTGGTGACCCGCGCACCCCCATCTTTGAGGGGTGTTCCCCCTCCCCCCTTCTACCCTCTGTTGCTTCTACTGCTGCGGCCGACCTCCTTGGTCTTGAGTCGGTTGGTGTGGCGTCTGCCCTTAGCGGGAGACGCCGCTCTGGCAAGGGCAAGGGGAGTAGGGGCACTGGAGGCGCGAGCGGGGGCGGTGGAGGTGGAGGTGGAGGCGGCGGGGGGAGTGGGGGTGGCGGTGGGAGTGGAGGTGGGAGTGGAGGTGTCGGTGGCGGCAGTGGAGGCGGAGGCGGCGGCGGTGGTGGCGGTGGGAGCGGAGGTGGCGGAGGTGGCGGCAGTGGAGGAGGCGGCGGAGGCGGCAGCAGCAGCGGAGGCGGCGGGGGCGGCGGAGGCGGTGGGGGTGGCGGTGGAGCTGGTCGCGGGTCTATGCAGAGGAGTGGCTCCGGTGGTG